CGGAGGGGCGGTCTGCTTCCGTGGTGTGCCTCTGCCGTGTGGCCTCCGGGGACCTCCAGTCTCAGTCAGCTTTGCGCCTCGGGCCGCGCTGCGAAGCGCGAGGCGAGGCTCTCCTCGCCTCTCTCTCGCCCCCTCCAGCTCGGAGGGGGCCGCCTGGAGGTGAGCCTGGTCCTGGCCCCCAGGGTGCCCCCCCCCAGCTTCTCGCGCTACTCTGGAGCCCTGGGAGGCCCTCTCGGGCCCCCTGAGCTGAGGAACAGAAGCCGCATCAGCATACACTTTGGGGGTTCCACGCGAATTTCTTGGATCTGCGCTGGGCTCCACCCGACATGGGCGGCGTCGGAGGCGCCTTCAGGGGGGGCCCAGCGCCGATCTAAGACATCCCCTCGGAGCTCCGAATGGTCGGCGGGCGTGGCCTCACAAGCCCGGGTGGGCCAGGATGGCTTGGTCGATACTGCAGAAAGAAAGCACCAAGCTTGCCGACGTCGGGTCTGTCTCTGTCCAAACATATGTCTCGTTCTCTCTCTCTCTCTCTCTCTCTTTCTCCCCCCCTGATTCCCTCTCTGTCTCTGTCTCTGTCTCTGTCTCTGTCTCTGTCGCTCTTTCTCCTTGTATCTCCTTAACGTTATCCCCCCCTGCGCCTCCGAGCTGCAGCAGGTGCGGGCCCCAGGCAGGGCGCGGACCCCTGGGGATTGGGCTCGCAGTGGATGGAAAACAGATTGTCCGCAAGTCTCTCTGAGCACCACGGACCGCAGATCAAACAACAGATTGTCCGCAAGTCTGCCCGCCCCGAACAGACAAGGAAGGGCTGGGATTGAGCTCGCGGAAATTCACAGGCCAGCAAAACATCGCCCGCAAAGCCGCCGACCCTGTGTCGGCGTGTGGAAAAGGCTTTTCGCGCTCTGCCCCCTCTGAGGCTTTCCTGTCTGCCCCCTCTTCGTCGTCGTCGTCGTCGTCGTCGCTCTTTCCCCTTTCCCGGGCCTCCCCCTCAAGTGGCGAAGCAAAAGGAAATCGAGCAATGTCGTAATCACAAATTTGAGCCGCGTCGTCATTGAGTCGAAAGGAAGCCCCTTCCCTTTCATCCCTTCCCCGCCGGGCGGGGGGGTCCGGGTGGGAGGGGTCGCGGGGAAGTCCCGGAGGGGGGTCCCGGGTCAGATACGTACGACGCCCCCCCCGGGAATCCCGCGGCCCAACAAAGCCCCAGGACGAGCCAAGAATGTCCCAAGAGACCCTCACGAGACCACGTCCTTTCTCCGTCAACATCTGCGGGCACCAGTATACCACCCCCGAGTCTTCCCCCCTCACAACTAACCCCCCTCCATTCCCTCCCCCCCCCTCCCCTGAACCTCTGCCTCCACCTCCTCATCCCCATCCTCCTCACCCTCCTCCTCCTCATGCGGCTCCTCCCCCTGCTCGTCCTACTTCTCCTCCTTCTACCTCGTCTTTGCCAGCGTCCTCATCTTCAGGGTCGGCGGCACCAGCCGCAAGGCCTTCGCAATCTGCCCACACTGAACAGACAAGAAAGGGCTGGGATTGGGCTCGCGGAATTTGCGGGCCCCCCACAATGGCCCGCTAATCTGCCATTCTAGACGGACACGGAGGGGATTTGGCTCGCGAGGGGGTGCTGGCAAGGAGCGCGGGCCAACAAACACACATTGTCCGCAAATCTGCCCCCCCGAAACGTGCAAGGACGTGGCTGGGAGTGGGCCCGCGGGAACTGCAAGCCCCCCAAAAATTGTCCGCAAACCTGCGCACCCCAAACAGACAAGGAAGGGCTGGGACTGGGCTCGCGGAATACGCGGGTCCCCCCCAAGAAGGCCCACAAATCTGCACACCCAAAACAAACTAGGACAGGCTGGGATCGGGCTCGCGGAAAGTGCGGGCCCACAAAAAGAGGCCCGCAAATCTGCTCATTCCACAGAGACAAGGAAGGGCAGGGAGTGGGCTCGCGGCGGGGTGCTGGCGGGGAGTGCGGTCCCCCCAAAAATGGCCCGCAAACCGGCTCACCCCAAAACTGCTCACCAACAACAGAAACGCAACATGTGCGGGCAAGTGTGCTCTGTCCGCACTTTCAATGGCCAAGTGTTGGCCCGCGATCTCCGCGTGCCCAGTCCAGTTTCTCTTCTTGCTTGGAGTGGGCAGATCTGCAGGCTTTTTGTGGTTCAACGCCCCACTCGTCGCACGAGTGCTAAGCAAACGCTGGCGTTTGGCGTACATGGACAGTGTCCTACCGAGTGCTACTTAGCGCCTGTCCGGTCCTCCCCTGTCTTTGTGCTGCTCAGGCTGGGCAGCTGTGCGGGCCGTTGTTCATTGGCCCGCACGCTCTGCGGCCCCAGTCCGTCTTTGTGATGCTCAGGGTGGGCAGCCGTGCAGGCCGTCCTGCTTGGCCCGCACTTCCCAAGGGCCCCCCCCCCTCTCTCCTTTTATGTGGATTGGGCAGGCGCGCGGGCCATCTTTTGACGCCCGCACTTGCCGCGGGCCCAATCCCTGCCCTGGCCGGTCTGTTTTGGCCCGCGCCCCCCGCGTGCACAGTCCCTCTCGCGTGCTTCTCTAGAGCGGGCAGGCGCGAGTGGGCAATGTTTTTTGCCACTCCTCGAGGAGGAGGAGGAGGAGGAGGAGGAGGAGGAGGAGGAGGAGGAGGAAGAGGGGGAGGAAGAGGAGGAGGAGGACCCTCTAGGAAGGGCAGGGCTCCTCTCCCTCCCTCCTCCGACGCAGCCCACCTCCCGCCGAGCCCGACGTCGGTGGGGCGGGGGGCCGCGGAGCTGGCGCAGGGCCGCACGCGCGCGCTCCTGAGCGACAGCGCAAAGGCGATCGCGCCGCGGAGGCCGCTGACCCACAGCGTGACCTGCCCCGCGCGCTCCCCGGGGCTGCCCAGCGGCAGCAGGAGGTCGACGTGACCCACTTGGGCGACGAGAAGAAAGGTCCTTTCTTCTCGTCGCCCTCGTCGTCCTCGCCCTCGTCGTCGTCGTCGTCGCTGTCCGCCTGGTCCCTTGGCCCCGTACAAAGCAAAAGACCGAATCACGAACGCAAACCGAATCCATACATTCTCTGATGGAGTCTTACGCGAGATGGCACAGCGACCTTACGCCGCGGCTTAAGCGGGCCGCCAGCGCGGCACTCCACACTGGAGACGAGGGCGCTCACGCGCGACCTTACGCGCGCAGCTTGCGCGCCAATGTCGGCGAAGACGAACCCGTTTTCCTTCGTTGCTCACTTTGCTTTGACATGAGCCTCGTGGCCTCCATCCTTTTTCCTTATAAATCTGCCACCGTGCCGCTGGGCACGGAGCGGGCGCGTCCTCAGTCCTTAGTCCTGAGGAGTCTATAAGGGGCCCGGACCCCAGGTTCTCAAATATTCTTGGGCTTGTTGCGTTTCCCCTAGCTGTCGAGATGATGACTGGAAACTCTTTGCTTTCGATTCGCATGACTTTGGGGGACCCAAGAGGGCCCCAGGACAGACCAAGAGGGCCCCGAGAGGCCCCCAAGACGGTCCCAGAGGGCCCCGAGACGCCGAAAGATCGCACCAAGACGCCTAAGATGGTCACGAGACGACCCAAGACGCCTCCGAGATGCCCCAAGAAAGCCCCACGTGCCTTCCCAAGAGGGCCCCGAGAGGTGAAAATCATGGATTTCCTATTGGTTTTTCAATGATTCTGGGGTTCTCGTCTTTTCGAGCCCCCGACGCTCCGAAACGGCCCAAGAGGCCGTCAGGATCGCCCCCAAAACGGCCCAAGAGTCCCCAAGAGGGCTCCCAGACGGCCCCGGAAGCGCCAAAGACGGCCCAAGACGGCCCACAGACAGCCCCAAGAAGTGCCCAAGAGGGGGAAGACGAACCGAAAATTCGAGTCTTTCACCCCAAGAGGCCCCCTGGATGCCCCCAGGAGGCCCCAAATAGGGCGGGCAGGGCGTTTCGCCTGAGACTTCCTCGCCACTTCTGGCCCTGAAGCTTGGGATTCGCAGCAGCTTCAAGGATGGAGCACAAGTCGTTTTCAAACTGTGGTTTCGCCTTAACACCGCGAGCATTCGTTAACACTAATGCAAATGCTTCAAGGGTGGAGGCGGGCTGTTTTTCAAAATGTGGCTCTCGCCTTCGCGCCGCGCACATTCGTATTTAAAAGTTGTAGCAGTTTTAAAGAATGTCGGGGTTGAAATCCCAGGGATGGTATTCTGACGCGAGTTAGGGTTGTCAGGATGCAACAATCACAATGATTCGTGGCGTTGAAATCCCGGGAATGGTGTTCCGGCGCGGTTTGGAATTGTGAGGACGCAACAGTCTAGTTGATTCGCGGCGTTGAAGTTCCAGGAATGGTGTTTTACGAGTGAGGAGGGAACTTGGAGGGAGGGTTCATTGCAGCATCGTTGATGCGTCTTGGTTTTGCACTGGTCCTCCTCTTCCTCCTCCTTTTCCTGCTGCTGCTCCTCATCATCCTCGGGACCGCTGAGCCAGCCCGCCTGGAACTGGACCGCTTTGGCCGCTGGCCCGAAGGGACATCCGCGAGTCGAAGCGAAGTCGAAACCGCACCGACGAAGATCGGCAACCGAACATTTGATGAGCCTGCTTTCCACCACCACCACCACCATAAGTTGGAGGGGGGAAGGAGGTGGAGGAGGAGGAGGAGGAGGAGGAGGTGGCGCGTGCCCAAAAGAGTCTGTTACATTGCAAACACGGCGAATCCGCACCTCGGGACCGAGGAATGAGCGAAGGCGGAAGCCCCATAAATAATAACCTCAACCGCCGAGACGAACAGGATGAGGAAGAGAGAGAAGAGCAAGTAGCCAAGGAACAAGAAGAGCGAGTCAACGAAGAACAGCCCAAACAGTGAAGCCGACATAGTACATCCCAGCAGGGCACACGACAGCATCACAATCTGGACGCCCACTGAACACAATCAAAACTTCAATCGATATCGGGCTCAGGTGGAAGATCGAGCACGGGAGCCAGGCTACACATGCCGTCTATAAGGTCGCCCACTGCGTCCTCGTAGATGACGTCCTCAAACTTAGAATAATTGGTTGGCGAGGCGAGCGGCGAGATCCGCAGAGGGCCATGGCCATCGATCTTCCTGCCCCCAGGGCGGTGGAAAGAGCAATCGCGCCGAAAGCATGCGCGGCCGCATTTGCAAACAGTGAGACCGCTGGGAGACCCAGGAGCACCAGACGATGAGGAATATGCAGAACGGGGGCCCGCTGCGTTTCCCTCGGGCCCCGCGCGAGCAGCCACCAGAGTATCGACGCGAGAGGCGAGGGCCTGGTGCTCGACCTGGTGCTCATCCAAGCTGCTGGCCAGCTGGCTGAGCTTCGACTCGAGGTCGCCGTACTGCCCGTTCAGCTGCTCCAGGCGGGCAGAGAACATGCGATCCACCCTCTGATTCGAAGCTTCCACCACGTCAAAAAAGTTCACGATCTTATCATCCATACCAGCAGACAAAACAGAGTCAATTCAGTGAGCTACCACTTTCTGAACTGATTCGTTGATCATGGTCGGGGAAGACGTGTAGAACTCGCGAACGGCCCCAGCAATGCGATCGTCGGTCTGCGCAGGAAGCTCAGCATATGGACGTTGCACTCCGAAGCTGCCTCTGCCACTCCCTCGGCGCCTAGCTCGCGAAGCTCTCGTGCAGTACCAGGGGACATGTAGTCCGCATGAGCAGGGGTAAACCGAGTCAGAAACAGAAGACGCCGAGGACGACGAAGAGCCGGCAGACTGACAAGTCTCTCGTTCCAAGAAACTCCGCAGCTTTGCTATCATTTCATTCTGATCGCACTAGGGATTGATAAGAGGCCATCTGAGAATCGTACACCTGCTGAGACTCCGCCAGAAGGGCCGGCACCGACGAGTACACAACATTCTGCGCAGCCTGGGGATGAAATTCAGGAGCTTCGCGACACAATCGAGAAGTGCGAGAAGCCCGCGCCATGCCAAACCGAGGGGCGACCACAGTGTGACTACCCGTGTAACTTGGGAGCGAGACCGAGAGCTGGCGGTCCAACTCCCTGCAGAACTCATCCCCCCCCGCACCTCTGTAAAATGCCGATGAAACAGCTGGGTGATCGCAGTGTGCTGCAACCTCCGACGAGTTGCACTCGGGAGCTGATGCCTTGTCGCGAACACAGCTTTGTTAAGACCTGAAAAATGCTGACCTGTCGCAGAGGAAAGCATGCGAAGCGTCCACCCCGCCAGAGAAGAAAGATGACCACAAGCTTCGTCCATAATGAAGAGACCACAAACAGAAATCAACGAGAAGAAACAAATAAATAATGATCAGAACATGCGCCAAGCTCGCTTGAACCGCAACAAAAGAGGCCGTCTTGAGCCAAATGGCTACGGAGGAGGAGGAGGAGGAGGACCCCCTCCCCCTCCTACTTATGGTGGTGGCGGTGGTGGAAAGCAGGCCCATCAAACATTGAAATCGGATCAGTGGAGATCGCATCAGGTCAGCGTCGGATGATTCGTCTTGGCGAACCACTGGCGGAATGGACCAAGCCCGACCTGGCCGAAACGAACCAGTCTGCGACGCAAACCGGACCAACCAAACCGAATCGGGCGCGCATCGAACAGGACCGAACCGAACCGCGGCTTCCATGATGTTCGTCCGAGGGGAACACGCCGTCGACGGCCTCGCCCGCGCCTTGTGTGCCTTTTGGCTCCGAAAGCGGAGCGGGGTCAAGCGCCCGCACCTCATGCCCCACGCTCGTGAAGCAGCCTGGAGCACACACGCACACACACACGCACACTTTTTCTCCAACGGCCGAGTGATGTCACCGCAGCGAGGGCAAGAACACGCTGCAAACTGGCCGAATTCCATACGGCGTAGCGAGTGGGCGGCTGGCTGCTCCGGGGCGCGCGAGTGCAGCGGGAATCTGTGGTCGACGTTGGCGGCGCTCAGAGAGGGACGAGCGCGTGGGGAACGCGAAGGGGCCTCTGGGCCTCTGGGGCCTCAGGAGAGCCAAGGCCCCTGGAGCCGCCCCGGGAGGCATCCGGACGGCCAGAGGCCAGACAGCCTGGATCCTCCAGCATCGATCCTGCTTGGGCCCTCGGCTCTTGACCCAAACTGCGGCCCCGGATCGAACATGTCAAACTCGGTATGAAGCGCGGCTTCGCCGCCACAAGCAGACATGGGTGAAACTCTGCGCCAGCTGATCGGGGCACAAGATCGGGTCGGATCGGAAAGAAGGCTCGTCTCCAGCCTGTAGAGAAGCACAGGTAAAACGCATTGGCTGATCAGGGCAGGGGGGTCCTCCTTCTCCTCCTCCTCCTCCCCCTCCCTCTCCTTACCCTTATCCTTATCCTCTTCCTCCTCCTCCTCCTGGAGAAGAGGATCCCCACTGCGATGGCAATCGACGGAGATCTCCGCCAATGCCCATGCTGGTGTCTTGCACCGCGAGGGCACGCCAGCCACCACCAGGCGCCCGCCCGCCTCCCCTCCGGTTCCATCCGCACCCGGGCGCCTTTTCCCCCCCGTATCGGAGGCTCCGAGGGGAGGTCCGTGAGCCCCTGGGCTCCTCGTGGACAAACGACGGAATTGTAGCCCTCCTCCCCGTCCTCCTCCCCCCCCCCTCCTCCTCCTCCTCCTCCTCCTCCTCCTCCTCCTCCTTCTCCTCCTCCTCCTCCTCCTCTCCTCCTCCTCCTCCTCATCTCATCATCATCATCATCATCATCATCATCATCATCATCATCATCATCATCATCATCATCATCATCATCATCATCATCATCATCATCATCATCATCATCATCATCATCATCCTCTTCCTCTTCTCTTCCTCTCCTCCTCCTCCTCCTCCTCCTCCTCCCTCTCCTCCTCCTCCTCCTCCCCCTCCTCCTCCCCCTCCTCCTCCCCCTCCTCCCCCCCCTCCTCCTCCTCCTCCTCCTGCCTCTCCTGCTCCCCGGGTGATCCCAGGGAGGACGGCCCAGAGC